CGCATCAAGACAAAAACTTATTGATTCCAACCTTCTCACTAACATATATAGTCATAGTTGAAGGAAAGAAAAAGAAATTTCTTCACAGTGGTTTTAATAGTGAAATGGTGAGGAAAAGCAAGAATGATGCATTAGTATCCAAGGAATCATATTCATTATTACATTCATTCTGTTGTGTGCCTCCTAATATTCAAATCTAATTAACAAGAGTGAAAAGCTACAGCTCATGTAATGATGGTCAAACTGACACTCAATGCATTTAGAAACTTCTTTGATAATACTTAAAATCAGTCCATGATAAACAGCAAGAAAATTACAAAGTGTGACCTGTAACTTCAAAAAGAAACGCAACTTACTTTTAAATGTTTCATTTTACTCTAGTGGTTCCAAAATGTCTGTATACTGATTATAATGATTTTAGGTAAACATTTACCTAGATATATCTATTAGAGTTATTTTTGCTCAATATTATAGGGTATACAATAGCTATAAATCTGATTACTATACTCACTGAATGACATCCATTGTAGTACTGAAAATATTGTACTTTCAATTTGTTCGTCTTTCTTTTCTTTTGCTTAAAGTATTTTGGAACCACATAGGTCGTACCTAACACAGCCGTTTAAATGGAGAGACATACTTAAACAATTGACTGCTGTGGAAGGTTGTGCTCTCGGAAAATATTTTCTCATGTTTTGTTCCTTTGAACTCTTACAATTGATTGATAGCAGATCTGTCTAGAGTTCTGGCAAGTTTTCATTGACTTATAAAAGTCTATGGGAATTCAGGGAGAAAAGAGACATGATTTTAACTAAGAAGCCAAAATTGCACAATGGAAAAAAAAAGAAAGTATCTTCAACAAATGGTGATAACGTAAGTGGATGTTAAACATGTAGAAGAATTCAAATAGATCCATATCTATTGCCATGCACAAAATTGAAGTCCAGATGGATCAGAGACCTCAGCATAAGCCTAGTTACACTGAACCTAATAGAAGAGAAAGTAGGAAGTAGCCTTGAACTCATTGACATAGGGGACTAATCCCCAAATATAACACCAAAAGCAGAGATACAGACAGAAGCAATTAATAAGTGGGACCTCCTAAATTGAAGACAATTCTGTAAGGCATAGGATACAGTAAATAAGACAAAATGGCAGCCAAATGAATGGGCAAAGATCTTCACCAACCCCACATCTTATCTCTAAAATATATAAAAAACTCAAGAAACTAGATATCAAAATATAAAATAACCCAGTTAAAAATGGGGTACAGGTCTTAACAGAGAAGTCTTAACAACAACAACAACAACAACAAAACTAAAATGGCTGAAAGACATTTAAGGAAAGGCTCAACATCCTCATCCTTCAGAGAAATAAAAGTCAAAATAACTCTGTGGTAACATCTTATACCTGTCAGAATGGCTAAGATCAAAAACACTGATGACAACTTAAGCTGGAAAAGATGTGGAGTAAGGGGAATACTTTTAACTACTCATGCAAATACAAACTTGTACAACTACTTTGGAAATTCATATGGTGGTTTCTCAGAAAATTGAAAATCAATGTACCTCAAGACCCAGCAATACCACTCTCGGGCATATACCCAAAGAATGCACATTAATACTACAAGGTCATTTGTTCAACAGTGTTCATAGTACATTATTCATAAAGCCAAAACCTGCAAACATCCTAGACCCAAAGAATGGATAAATAAAATGTGGTATATTTACAGAGTGGAGTATTACTCAGTGATAAAAACACAATGACTTCCTGAAATTCACATGCAAATGAATGGAGCTAGAAAAAAAAATCTTCAGTGAGGTAACCAAGACCCAGAAAGTATAGATATTAGACAAAATAGATATTAGACATAAAAAAAGAATCATCATGTTACAATCCACAATCCCTAAGAAACTAGGTAACAAGGAGGACTCTAACAGAGACATGCATGGATATCCCTGAAAAAGTGGAAATAGATAAAATCTTCTGAGAAAACTGCAAGGAAGATGGAAAGGAGGGAAGAAGGCAAGGAGAGAGGAGAGCATGAGGGAATGTGATGGTTGAGTTGGTGGAGGGAAAAAGAGGGATAACAAGGAAAGAAGTATCTTGATAGAGAGAGCCAGTATGAGGTTATGGAGAAATCTTATGCTAGAGAAGCTTCTGTGAATCTACACGGATGACACCAGCTGAAGCTTTCAGTAAAAGTGGAGAGAGTGCCTTGACTGACCTTCCTATAATGAGATTGATGACACCCTAATTTTCATCATAGAACCTTCATCCAGTAACTGATGAAAGCATATGTAGGGATCTTTTGTTGGAGACCACTTGTTTGTTTCCAGATGCTCAGCCCTGAAATAATCACACAGAAACTGTATTAATTAAATCACTGCTTGGCCCATTAGGTCTAGCTTCTTATTGGCTATCTCTTACATCTTAATTTAACCTATACCTATTAATTTGTGCATTGCCACATGGTTGTGGCTTACAGGCAAGGTTCTGGCTCATCTGTCCCCAGCAGTGACTACATGGCATTTCCTGACTCAGCATTCTTTCTCCGACCATTCAGTTTAGTTTTCCCTGCCCAGCTCTGTTCTGCCCTGCTAAGGGTCAAATCAGTTTCTTTATTCACTAGCAAATAAAAGCAACACATATACAGAAGGACTTCCCACTTTAGGTATCCACAGCTAAGCACCGAGTCAAGCTCCCAGAGTCCAGTTGAAGACATGGAGGGGGATTATATGAGCAAATTGTTCAAGATCATGAAGGGGAAACCTACAGAGACGGCAGAACTGAGCTAGTGGGAGCTCAGTGACTCTGGACTCATAGCTGGGGGACCTGCATAGAACCTAACAAGGCCCTCTGAATATGGATGATAGTTCTATGGCTTGGGCAATGTGTAGGACTACTGGTAGTGGAACCATATTTTATACCCAATGCATGAACTAAATTTTTGGAGCCCATTCCCTATGGAGTGATACCTTGCTCAGCCTTGATGCTAGTGGATAGGGGCTTGGTCCTGCCCCAACTTGATATGCCAGACTGTGTTGACTCCTCATGGGAGGCTTTATCTTTTCTGAGGAGTGATGGGGGTTTGGGTAGAAAGAAGGTGGGAAGGGAGTGGAAGGAGGTAGGGAGAGGGAACTGTGGCTGGTATGTAAAATTAAAAAAAGAACTTTTAAATAAACTGATTTTTTAATAAGAAAAAGGATATTTTCTCATTCATGCAGATGCCTTCTTCACCCTATTTTATGGTGGAAAGAGTGGTTTATAACCTGAGCAGTAATATTCTTCCTCCTCACTGCTGTTCAGCTCTGTATTTCTTACTTTTTCTGAGTTTATCCAATCTGTAGCTCTTACTAGGACAATGCATCCCTTTAAATCGATATGGAAAAATGGCTTAAATTAATGCTGAATCAGGCCCATTAACACCACACTGATTATGCAGTAAACAGACAGTATTGTTTACAGTAGACCTTTCCGAAACCTAACCATGACATTAAAACTCAGAATCTATTCTGGGAGTAGGCAAATCTTCATAAAAAATTTTATTTATCATGAAAGGCAAATGCTTATTCATTGCATAACACTGAAAGACATGGTTACTCCTCCTCAGACCTTCCTAAACATCATTAGGTATTAAGACGAACTATAATTCTTAATTGTGTCTGTAAAGTCAGTGAAAAGATTGCTTCTGTAGGGAGGAAAGAATCCAAGTACTTTATGTGGGCTGGATGTTAGGAAAGCAAATCAGTGTAGAGTTACTGGATGGGAGCTGTGGGGCAAAGCTTGAGTTTTATTTTTGAAATTCACTAAATCGTTACAGAAAAAAAATCTTCTCTATAGACCTTCCTAGTTCTTAGTGCTCATAATGCCTTAAGTACCCTCGAATAATTATCATTTGACTGCTTATTTATTCTGGTTTTGCTATTGGGTTTGTTTGTGTTTGTATTTGCTGGAGTGTTGTTTTCTAAGCAGCATGTGTTTGGTGAATGTGTGCATGAGTATGTACGTGCCTATATATGAGAAAATATAAAATAATTACACATTTTAAACATCTGCGTTAGGTACATCTGCAATTCTAGCCCTCTGGTCCAGCCAGTCAGGATGTTTAGACCTGTCATTTGGTGTTTGGACTACTCGGAAGACTGCCTTTTGGACGCCTGACGGTGGTTCCCGGGGGTTCGAAGCTCCAGGAGCCTGTACCATCTCTATCCGAAGGGGAGGAGAGGAGGTGAAGAGAAAGCATGCCAGCAAGGAGCTTCTCCTTCCCATGAATGGGTCAAAGAAACAGTAAGTAGGTCTAGAGCAGGGTTCTTAGATTACACAGCAAAGCCCTAACTTCAGAACCGTGGACAGCAGCACCTCCCGCCTAGAGAGAGGCGCGTGCATACCTCCTGCCTTGGCCGGGACTCCAGCCTGGGCCGGTGGATTCCTTCTCATTTTTGCTTCCAAACCAGACGAGGGCAGGGCAGAAGGGTTGTTACGGCAAGAGGAGTACGTTAGAAAAAGAGAAGGAAAAGGAGGAGGAAGAGGAGGAGGAGGAGGAGGAGGAGGAGGAGGAGGAGGAGGAGGGGCCGGGAAGGGAACAAGAAGGGAAGAGGGGGAAGGTTTCCCTTTGCCAGGCTCGCCCAGGTCTGCAGGCGCTGCTAGAAGCAGCGGCATCTCCAGCTCCTGGCTACTGTTGCCGCTGCTGCTGTGCTCTACAGCTAGAGAGCTTCTCAGTGCCGCGCCGCGCTGAGGCCAAGCGAGCACCTGGGGCTGTGCTCCGCTCCGCACATCCTTGATCTCAGCCTGGGAACTGACAGCCTACTGGAAACCCCTCTGAGTCGCGCTGCACAGTGGCCACCCGAGCCCTCGCCCGCAGTGGCAACAGCGGCATCGCTGGACACATAGCTCTCCGGTTCTCTCCTGTAGGCTCAGTGCTCTCCAGATTTCCCCCACGCGTCCTTTGGTGATTTTTTTTTTCCAGAGAAGAGGGCGGGGTAGGTGTCAGTCTCCTCCTCTCTCTAACCCCTCCTATTTCTTCTCGGTTTGAATTTCTTCCCCTGGCATTTCACTGGCTCTCAGAGCAAGAGACCAGACCCACAGAGAGGGGAAAGCAAGGCTGCGCCTCTCCTGCTGCTGCCAGCCCAGAACTGGAACTGGAGGGGGTGAGGGGAGAGGAAACGAAGCAGGAGGAGCTTGGCTTCCTCTTGCATCTGAGGACAGACCAGTTCCTTTCAAGAACCCCACGGAGAAGCGGACTGCATCTCCGCAGCGAGCTTTTGGAGTACTGCTGGCCCAGAGGCGAAGGATGGTGGTGTCCCTGAGAGCAGGCTGCAGGGCAGCGCTCTTGCTCTGGATTCTCAGCAGCCTCATCTGCAGAGCCTGGATGGCTCCCTCCACGTTTCGTAAGTAGTTCTCTCCTCTCCGTGGCTCCGTCCTGGAGCCACTTCAGTGCCGCATTGGTGTAAGGGCGCCCAGGCATCAACTCCGAGGAGCATTCGCAGTTTTTGCCCCTGGTGTATGTTTATGTGCATGTATGTGTATCGGATGCCTAGCACTTGCAGGCACTGCCGCAGAGAAGCAGAAAAACTCTAAACCCGGGGAGCTCCTTTTTTAGTGTAGATGATTTTCATAGTGCTGGATGCTTCTGGAAAGTTGTTCCTAGTCTTAAAGATTGCTCCGCAACTGCTTGTGATGAGTGTAGTCGTTTCTTGCGACCGATTTGCACAGACTGGAGAAGATTACATTTTACTTGGGTAGAGAGGAAAACAAGCAGAAGTTTCTGATTTTTATTGATGGTTTTAACTTGAGCTTTGGTCTGAGGAGGAAAGAGGAACAGACCTCAAGCAGTTTGGGTACCTTTGGACTCACTAATGTTTTTCTGCCCTCTTAAAAAAGTTAATGCTCATTTAGCAGTTGATTATACATATGAAAACGGAGGTCTAATATTGGAACTGAAAATGTGCAAATTACTTAGTAGTTTGGGGTAATGGGCATGACTCATGCAGGCCGTGACTTGGGACGGACAGTGCAAAGGAAATGTTATGTTATTAATGGTTAATGAAGAGATGGTTTAAAAGTTATGTAGCTGTCCAAAATGTGTGTTTTTAAGGACAGAGTGAAAGGACAGATATGGTTTGTGTTTTGATGAGGTCTAGAGGAAATGGAAGATTCCAACTCATTTTCTTCATTCCTTTAGAAATGCATACTGTGTATGAAGAGAGGAAGGACATGGTTGGCTTTGGCTGAGAAACAGTTAAAGGCTGGACTGATTTTCTGTGGTACTTTGTAGAGTTTTCCTAAGCACAGCCTTGTTTCTGAGGATGGGTGAATCTGTTGGTGAAGGGGTATGGATTTGTGGAGTTCAGAGGAAAATATTCTCCACTTAGATAAGTTGAGTTGATTCCAGAGGCCTCACATGTTTTGTGGCCCTCTCTCTGTTTATAGTTCTGTGAATGTATTCATGCTCACCTCCATCTACGTTTCCATATTAATATTATCATTCCACTGTACAAAGTGTTAATAATATTTTATTATATTTTGTTAATGAAAAAATCTTGAAATAGGCTTTATATGTTGTGATCAGCAATTGCCTACAATGCTACCATTAGCAGTCGGTTGACATAGTCCCAAAGGACCATCTATGAGCTTCTTTGCAGTGATTAAAGAGAGAGAAAAGTGAGGAAAAAAAGACAGCCAAGTTGTAGTAAACTTGAACAAAGGAAATTTTTGGGTAGTCTCAGAATACAAACAAACCTAAAAAAAAGTACTGCTTTTATCCATGTTTATTGTATAGAGTTAAATGGAAATAGTAAAACAAGACCTCTTGATGCTGACATCTACAGAAATGTGTAACACTACCTATGGGATATTATTCTGATGGAATTTCAATTTCCATTTCAAAATATTGTTTGTATAATGGTATAGGATTTGCTTCCATGCTTCTTATATACTCGCTAAAAGTTAAAGAATGTTGTATTCTGTGGTTTGATTTCCTACTTCCCAATAGCTTCCAGAATTCTGTCTTTCATTTTTCCACATGCCTTAGTAGAAATGGGTCAATCTAAAGCAATCACCATGTGTTCAGAATGATATGTTCACCTTCATTACTCTGCTATAGTTTGAAGACTCAAAAGTCCTTATTTCATATGTGTTTTTACTACTTAGAATTCAGTGAAAAATAACATAAAATCATAACTTTAGACATTTTTCTGAGCTTTAAAATTTATTTAGTTCTTATTCTATACAACATAAATAGTTACAATATATTTTAAATGTTTAAAATGTTTTTTAAAGAGTTAAAAATGGATTAGCTGCAATAGGGTTTTATTAAGTTTGAGTTTAAACTCTGAAACACAAGCCCAAAATTGTCATGAATCCTCGAAATAAATTTAATGAATAATACCTGAATTTAGTGATGAGAATGAACTCTCAAATTTATTTTATTTTTACATTTTATGTTGTACTTATTTTGAAGTTATGTTTTCAATACCTAGAAAGACTCAAGGCAGAAAAACAGTAACTCCATGAATCTAAGTTAATGAACAGCTCAACCAGGAGGGGTCATCATGACACAAAAAGTAGCAGAAAACTCATGTCGTTCATGCTTTGAAAATATGATGACTATGCTCCAACATCCTTTTCCCAAGTAACTTTGGAGTGCAAAAGGAATTTTCACATAGATGATTGATATTTTAAATTTCATAATATACATTTTCAATAGACCATTGCCTAAGGTTTATTTCTTTAAGCTGCTCTGGACATGCGCAAAAAGGTTTCTCATCCTGTGTTTTATACATACATTTCAATTTAAATTAAAAGAACCTTATTGCTTAGATCAAACAAGAATCTGATCTCTTTCCGTATGGTAATTAGAATGATGCGGTACTGAGCAGAAGTGTATACCTTCCTTTCTTGTGAAAGTCCATCTGAAAGGCTCAGGAGCACTCCACCACTAGGGGATAAATTGATTAGACCATGCTTTTAAGACTTAAGGAGCTGTCCTAAATGACAAGGGAATTAAGCTAGATCTTAGTAAGTTTGGTGTTTAAATATTATTGAATTTTCACTTAAATAAGTGTTTGCTCATGAAGAGCAATTAATGTGATTTTTATGAAACTATTCTCATATGATTTAGTTGAGTCTCATATTTGTGAAATGCATTTTGCACATGACCAATTAATGTCTTACATGTTTACTTTTGCATATATGCCATATACAAATATATACACATATATGTGATTTAATTATGTAGTAAAAACAGAGACATATAACGTATGATATATATATATATATATATAAATAGCTGCAATATGAGCATGTTTATATATTATGTAGCATTATTTAACAATTTTACTTTATTGTCAAGTTCATAGTTAGGATTTTTCCTGTATAAGATACTATGATAAAAATATAAAACAATAGTTTATTGATCTATTTTCTCTTTCATAAATTTATATTTTACTCATAGTGATATTTTTAAATATACCATATAAAACAATAATAAATAAAAAGTTGTAGCTCTACATCTCATTTAATCAGAATAGTGAGTTTGTAAAACTGAGAACATACTTTTGATCGACAAGATTCAATGGGGAAAAGAGTTATACATTTTTTAGGATCTGCAAATTAGTAAGAACAAAACCTTTGACTGGTTGGAGATGAATACATTTCTTAGTTTTACAAACATTGACACTGTTACTCAGATAATGGTAAATTTTATGTTTAATCATTTATCATAAAGTAAGATGAAATGACATAAAACATACTCCCATATAATTACTATATCTTTCAATTACCCTTCATGCATTTATACATATGCAATTCTTATTTGGGAGAATTTCAAAGCTGTTTTGTGTATACTGCGTTTTAAAACAGGTTTATACATTTTCATTACTTTTAGTAGCATCAACCTTCAAGTTCTATAATTTCTTTAAGCTCCTATCTCATTTGTCTGAATTAATAAATCCTATTAGCGAAGAGAACTTAATAAATCTTTAAAAATGAAGGAATCAGCCTTTCTGCCTGACAAATTGGATATTGATTGGAAAATAAAAAGGCCTGTGATGTGTCTGACCCTGATTCAATTTTCTTTTTTAAAAATGGTATATATACCTGTTATAAAAGTAGAGAATATACATGTATTCTCTGCTTTAAATTTGTTAAATAAAACCTAGTTTGTAATCTTATGAGAAATCTTAGCTATAGAGTAGAAAAATTGATGATTTGATAAACTGCCTCCTGTGCAAACATTAGGACCAGAGTTGAAATCCTCAGAATACATGAAAATACCGACTTCATGGTACACACTGTAAGCCAACTGCTAGTTGGATGGAGACAGGTATGTTGTAGATATTAGTTGAAGGTGTTAGAGTTGCTTGTGCTGTGGAACAGTTTTTTAACGATGCAAAGATGTGTTGCATTCTTTTGTGTTGTATTTGTTTAATTCTATGAAGCTGTGTTACAATGTCTAGAACACCTGATTGACTAAAATACAGTCAGGCAGGAGAAAAGACAGGCAGGGTTGGCAGACAGAGAGAATAAATAGGAGGAGAAATATGTGAAGAGATCGAGAAGCAAGAAGAGGAGAAGAGAACGTCAGTGGTCAGTCATGCAGCTACACAGCAAGCCTTGGCTTAAGAAGTAAAGGATGTGATGTAGAATACAGAAAGACAAAAGCCTAGAGGCAAAAGGTAGATTGGATAACTTAAGTTAATAAAGGCTGAATAGAAATAAGGCAGTCTAAGGCTGGACATTTGTAAGTAAGAATAAGCCTCCACATAATATATTTGGGATTTAAATCATTGGCTGCGTCAAAAGCCAAAGAGTAAAAAACAACCAACAACCTGGTGGATCCCAAGAGACTACTGGACAACCAGTCTAGCTAACAACTGAACTCCAGGTTAGACAAGATAAACAGTATCAACATTAACAGCTAATAGTAGAGGAAGGTATTGACTTAAAAATTTTGGCTTTCATATGCACATGCACACCTGTATAAATGTAAATGTGCGCACACACAACATACAGACACAGATAATCTAGAAAATGGAAAGTATAAATTTCAGCAACACCAAAGGACATGTCAAAGTAGATAGAGAAAAGCCCACAATGCCTGAACTCTGAACAAAGTGTTATAGACAAATGAAGAAAGCTGGGAGCAGGAGAGGGGAGAGGTAGTCTCTCCCAGAAAAGGGCATATTAATTGATTGTATAGTGTCAAATGGTGATCTCTGGAAATATATATATATATATATATATATATATATATATATATATATGGGTGTGGGTGTGTACAATTATAATGAGTCCCTGAGTTATATTTAGGAATACATATGTATACACATGAACATAGATTAATGAAATAACAACTAATAAAAAAGGAGGCCATGAATTTAAAAAAGTG